CGTGCAATGCAGCTCGCAGTCACTGAACGTGTATGGGTTGATAAGGTAAAACTCCGGACAAGTTTTCTTGCGCGCACCTGTTTTTAACGCGTCTTGACTGTCGTACAGTCTGACATTAATGACAACTGAGATCCCAGTGTGACTTGATCATCATGTTCGTACAGTCTGACAAGTACAATCCTAAAGGACTTTTAAAAAATCGCACAGTGTGAGCCCGGCTTAATACCACCTGGTTACATATAATAGGCCTATTTGTTTTTTATGGCTAGCATAAAGAGGAGAGGATCATTGGTGTCTGTGTCTTGTTGTATTTGCCTTTTTTACAGAAGTAAACTATGTGGGTGTACATGCTTGTGTAATTTCAGTGTGTTATTATCTATAGTCCTCAAAGGTCCTAGTTTATTTTATTTATTTAATTCCACACATTGTATTATTCCACCTTAGTTTAAATCAAAACTCTCTTTGTGTGTGTGTTACAGTGACCAATCTAATGTTCGGCGGATGCACACAGCTGTGAAGCTGAATGAGGTTATTGTAAATAGATCCCATGATGCCAGACTGGTGCTGCTGAACATGCCAGGACCGCCACGCAACCCAGAGGGAGATGAAAACTGTATCCTTCCCAAATAATTATATACTTTAAGTACTGTATTAAAGCATTCTTTTACTGGTGTGCTTAGTTTCTAGTGAGATATAGATAAATCCAACATGAAAATATGCTCTGTTTGGTATGGTATAAATGTATTGCTACTTCTCATGCTGTTTCGTTAACTCCGATTTCAGATATGGAATTTCTTGAGGTGTTAACTGAAGGTCTAGAGAGAGTGCTGCTTGTGAGAGGTGGAGGTCGTGAGGTCATCACCATCTATTCCTGAATGGCCAAAGATCAATACATAGACCACTGTTACTGTTTGTTACTATATCTAATGCAAGTCAAAAAAGTGGCATATAAAGAATATGCATTCTGAACATCTTATGCCAGCCTAAACATATCATAGTTCATGAAAAGGAGTTTTACACTAAGGTGTAATTCATTCCGTTCACAATTCATTTCACTTTAAATATTTTAGTGGCATGTTTGGGCTAAGTTGTGTACCTTTTCAACTGAACCCATTCCACATTCACACCATAACATTCAGAATCACTTTGGAATTTAGGCCATGTTTGCTGCACAAAATAACAGATGATTCCAGCAACAACACTGCTTACGTATGACATTAAGTAGACAATCCCACTTTAAAGCATTTGAGGTTTTGCTAACATTGATGAGTTTAAATCGCTGATGTAGCAACATACACTTTCAAGCATGCTAACAGTTCATTAGAAAATATTGTGGCTTGGGTCAGAGCCAAGAAAAATATTTCACAACAGTTAACAGTAGCTCATTTAGAAGAGAAATATTCCATTTCCTTTTAATATAAACAAATGACATGCAAAACATTATTGTGTACAGGGCGACTAATATAAAAAACGAGCACATGTGATTATCTTGACTTTCACTGCCCAAGTAACAGATCTAGTGCTTCCTGATACAAGACTGCCATTCAGAATGCAAGTGCTAAATTTAAATTGCCATTTGAGTGCTTGTATTTTTTTTATTTATTTTGTCTTCATTATTTATTTGTAAAACTCCCCACTGTATTAGAAAATAACCAAAGGAGCTGAAATGGGATGGGTAGATTTTGTAATTTATAACTGCATTGTATCACTTTTTTGAGATTGATTCTTTATAAATGAACCATTCATTTTCAACATATTGCATTTTAGTACACAACTCACATTGAGAATGAGACATTTTGGATACCGATAGTCTTTATTCTTTTTTTAGGGCATGATTACTGTACAGACATTTGTTACATACATTTGTTATACAAATAGAAGAAAATATGGAAAACTCTATTGACTAACAACATTTATATCTGGTATATAAAGGTGATGATCTGTTACTGGTTGTATAGTGTTAAATCTGTACAGTGTTTCATGTCAAAGAGAAAGATTAAACACTTAATGAAATATGCATTTGACTTATGTATAGTATTAAGAAAAAACTATTTTAAAACAAAGAATATGAAAAAAGTTACAATAAAGTGCACTATGAACTACAGAACATGCTACATGTATTATATGATCTTATTTTTGCCTCAGAGAAGACAACCTCTAACTGCACACCTCGTGGATTAACAAAAAAGAAGCTTGAAAAAACAGGTGGAATTGCATTTTTGATGAGTATTTTTTCCTTCTATAATAAATGAATACAGTATTATCGAAAGACTGTGTCATCTGCAGATAAATGTTAGTATACACTGTGACTCTCTGGTGCTTCCAAAAGATTAATCTTTACATTTGAGCAGTTCAACAGAGTTTGAGGTAGGACTACTTGTTAGTCCAAGTGGTGAGCATGGTGGAAGAGGTGATTGGAGTGTTTGAGAAATGTGTTTGGAAAGAAATAATTTAATAATACATTCATTCATTTCAACATATATTGAATGAAATGCATAATACAATATTTTTGTATTCAATAAAAATATAACAAATTGTTTTTTTATATCTACTATCTACATTTTTAGATCTACTTCTGCAAAAGGGAAACACCAGACAGACTGAAAGAAACAGATGTTTCTTATTGATATGTTAAGAAAGTACAAGATAATGCAACAGTGCTGTTTGTTACCTCATTTTGTTTCCTCGCGTGATCTGTACACTTGCCATACATATTATGAAACAATTCTAAAGTATGGTCTTCATAAACTGTTACCAAACATTAACAGTTTCCAAAATGGTCAAAGACCTAAATGTGTCAGTTTCAGTCAGCGAACGGTCTCCAAATGTACTCCTGGTCTTGCTGAGATTTTAAATCAAGTGTTGGCTAAGCAGTCTGTGGTAAACATTTAATTTGTATACTGTCTCTGGTTGATTCATTGTTTGTTAGATTACTTTAACTGGATCAAAAATAAGATGAAGCAGATCAAAGCTTTCACAGGCGTTAATGGAGCGTTTCCATTTCGATGGCTGCTTGGATGGACCAGCATCGCACGACAGCTCTTATTTACTTCCGAAAGTGAGATTTCAGCTTCACTGGGTAAATTGTACAGCATATCATCACGTACCTTAACATATGGAGAGAGAGAAATATTTAACATATATCCAAATGTGCTCTGACCACACTGAGGGAAATACTTCTAATATATACAAACTATAAGAATATGTGACACTTTTTTTCAGTACACACATCCTTAAAGTGAATTAAATTATTGTTGATTTAAAAACAAATGTTTTGAAATTACATATATAAATAAATAAAAGACACCAATTTAGAACTAAGACCAAAATAGGCCACCAGAAGACAGGGTTTTCCGTGGAAGTGATACATAAGGCTGATGGAGACAACAGGGTTTAAAAATATTTCTTGCATTGGTTGTGGTCCAAACTGAGCGCAGCTACAGTTTGATAAAATCTCATCAGATTAAATGTGCTGAACCAGTGCAATGACATTTGGATAAGGAGGAATCTTATCATACATTATCAAGAACAGGATGGTAAGGTGTCATATATATGTATACCATATGTATATCAGGGCTGCTAACTCATTTCAGCTTGGAGTAAGAAATCCTGTGGGGGGGGATTCTTAAAAAAAACACAAAACCTGTCAGCAGAGTTTTGTCTGACAGTGGTGCTACTTTGTCTGAGGACTGGTACTGTTTGTATCATAAAATGACAAAATAACTGCTGCAATGGTGCAAAAAAATCAACTTTGCTAATACTAGCTTATTTCTATGTAGGATACAGAATATATTAGTTACTAACCTAAACTCAGTTAAGACACAGAGCGTAATCGTAACTCACTGACCTGCCTGCGTTCACACAATATTCAGCATGCATGAAAATAAATTACAATTAAGTTATATATTTTCCCCGATTGGTCTGAATCTCTCTCACCAGTCAGCACACTGTCAGTGTTCTCTTTACTCCCAATGATTTTGAGTGTGGCGTGAGAACAGTGCCAAATGCGTGACAGTTGGCAGCCCTGATGTAACAGATACACTTTCTCTGGTCTGTTTGGAGATTTGAGACGTAAGGTAGAGGTGCTTTTTGAAGTGGATGTTGCAATAACAACTGTAATTTAAAAGAAGAGGGTTAGCTGAGGGTGGAAGATAGTGGTTGTAATGTGATCAGATAAATTAATGGGGATCACTGAGAGCAAAGAGCAAAAGTTTTTTTTCGAGGAAAATGAAAGGAACTGGAAGGAATTTCCATCTGGCTGTAAAGATCACCATTGTAGTACAAGAAAGGAAGAAGCTGAGGAACAAGATAATGTAAGAATGTGTGTGAGAAAGTTCAGACAACATTTCAGCTGGGATGTCTTATGGAGTTATCCAATGCCAAAAACAAATAATAGTCAAAGAGATGACCTTTACAGAGTTAAAAGCTTTGGGATATTTACAGAAAACCAAAATGAGATTCACAGACTGACTGTGAGCAAAGTGACCAGTGGTCAGTGGTTGAAACCTGTCATATCATGTACGTTAAGTATATGTTTGCTATGTTATGTTTACTAATGTCAATTGCAAGGGTGGGTGTATATTTATACTGGCCCTAAAGAGGCCAAGATATATACATATCTGAACTGACCTCATTGAACTGGGAACTGGACACAAGAATGAATTTCCTGACCTTCTCAACCTTTCGGAACACTCTGAGGAAGTTCAGTCTTAGCACTCCCGCCAGCTCTTCCTCAGTCCAGTTCCTTGATATCAGCTCCTCAATTAGTGCTGGATATTTGGATACGTCCTCCAGGCCTTTAGGGAATCTGTAATAATACAGGCACACATAAACACTTGCACACAGACATACAGATAAGGGCCACAGGCATAATCTGCATGCTTTTCTTTGTGGTTCTTGGGGATATGAATTCTTCTGAATGGATTTAAATATTGTAAAATGTGTTAACTGGTGCTGAGAGCACTACAATGTTATTGATAGCTAAAAAAATTATATGTACAATTTTTGTTTAAATTCGGCAGAAATCTACAAAGTTTTCTGCAGAATTCTGCAAGCATGGATTCCGTGGAGGTACGTTAGACAAATAAACAGAGCAAAGAAGTGTGTAAACAAAAATTCTGTAAAGTCAATACAGATGAGATGTAGATGAGATGTTAACTTACCCTTGTGCCCCATCAAAGTCTGCTCCAATCCCGATGCTTTCAGCTCCAATCACCTGCTTTAGATGATCAAAATGATCTAGAAAACATACATTTCAAATTAAAACCAAAATAAATTAAAATTAAAAAAAACAAAGAAATCTAGTGTCTTACCAGCCACAACAGACACGTTTGCGTTATTTGAACATGCTACAAAACTGCTGTAGAAGTTCACCATGATAAGCCCGCCATTTTCTTTCTAGAAAGAAAGCAAAGTTTGTTCTTTTCAGTAAATAAAGTTTTTTATTGTCAAAACACGGGTGAAAGGTGTCATTTCCATTACTGTCTTTCTTTCAGTAAAACTGGCATTTTGGAGAATTTTTTGGGGGGGGAACTACGTCTAATGCAGCAAAACAAATGGAGGTCTCACCAGCAGCAGCAGCTGCTCGTTAGGTACGTTGCGAATATTGTTACAGATAGCATAGGCTGAAGAGTGGCTGAAAATAACCGGAGCAGTAGAATGTTTCAGCACAGCTCTGGCTGTCTCCCATGAGCTATGGGACAGATCAACCAGCATTCCCAACCTGTTCATCTCATTCACCACTGCCTGGGGAGAGACGGTGAGAGAATGATTAAATTAATTAATTACCAGTGTAAAGCAGTTAGTTCTGATCCACTTAGCTCAATTCAACATATCAAGGTAGGTAGGGTAAATTTGTAGAACTTTACCCATTTGGATTTTTACTGTGTATTCTATGAGGTAAATCACAAATAATCCGTGTCAAAGAGAATTCCACTGCAAAATAGGTTCTGATAATAGTCATGTTATACTTCAGAAAGTAAATGCATCATTATCATTTATGAAGAGTGTGCAGAAGTTTTTCCCACTTCATTCATTTAACATAATGGGCTCACTGTGCACAATATTGTAATGATATGTGACCCTGGAGCACAAAACCAGTCTTAAGTCACTGGGGTATATTTGTAACAATAGCCAAAAATACATTGTATGGGTCAAAATTATTGATTTTCACTTTTATGCCAAAAATCATTAGGATATTAAGTAAAGATCATGTTCCATGAAGATAATTTGTAAATGTCCTACTGTAGATATATCAAAACATAATTTTTGATTAGTAATATGCATTGCTAAGGACTTCATTTGGACAACTTTAAAGGCGATATTCTCAATATTTAGATTTTTTTGCACCCTCAGATTCCAGATTTTCAAATAGTTGTATCTCAGCCAAATATTGTCCTATCCTAACAAACCATACATCAATGGAAAGCTTATTTATTCAGAAAGCTTATTTATTCAGATGAAATTGACCCTTATGATTGGTTTTGTGGTCCAGGGTCACATATATGTTGTATAGATGTCTTTTATATGTTATGGGTACAAATTTGTCAGCAATTTTAACACACGTATGCTCCAGATTTTTTTTCTCAAAGGTAATGATGATCTGCTGTGCAAACAGGATATACAAATCACCATCTTGAATATTTTAGTTACTCCAGGATCAAAAAAACTTGGAACATTCCGCATTTTGTGTCTCTAGACTTTGGGTTCAAAAAGGGGACACAAGACGGGGATTTCCAAATATAGAAGAGAACGAAAGAGGCCTTTAATACCGGGTCAAATTCCCCACTAAATACAAGTGTAACTTTGGTTCAACTATCTTGAATTGAACTTTATCTTCTTACATGATCTTAATCCACGTCTGTTTTACATTTTTTATTGACCACTGATTCATCAATAAAAACTTACCTTGCCAAAATCTGTCAGGCTGTTATTCTTCTGCTGGTAATATGTGTAATAACTTGATGAGCTCTCAGCCCTACACATGACATTATTGGAGAAAGTTGGATAACTTAACTATATGAAATGGACCAATAAAAATGCAGGGACAGTATGCAGTATAAATTGTATTTGTGCTCCTCTCTCAATTCAGTATTAAAACTTGTTTGTTTAAATGCACAGATTATTATTATTAGCTTATGCTGTACATGTATGGTGAGTATTTACCATGGGGTGTTGCAGTTGTGTGTGAGGGCCATGGATCTTACTCCAAGCTGGTAGAACATGCGTAGTGCTGCTAAACTGCTGTCGATGGAGTGGCCTCCCTCTATACTGATTAGACATGCGATTTTTGTACTAGTCCTCATTCCTTAAACACACACAAATTTTTTGTTTATTAATAGTTTAAAGACACAAATATATAAAACGATGTGTAGTCCTTTTTTCCCTCTTCTCTCCACAACAGTAATAATCTGAGCACAATGGACATTAGTGCCTTTATATCTCCCTGTAAAATGAAGTGAACAGTCAGTGTGCAATGATCATGGCTGAGTACAACTGTAGCTGTTTCTAAGCCAGGCACTTGTCATTTGACTGAAACTACCTGACATTGTTCAATCTCCAAAAAAAACCAAAAACACGTCTAATATCATGTTTAGTCTTAGGTCTTTCTACATTATGTTACACAACATCAATACCAGGTACTACCCTTATTTCACAAAGAACTCTTGCAGACACTTCTATAAACTACTGTTCAAACGTTTGGGGTCAGTAAGTTTTTGTTTTGTTTTTTTAATTCAGCTAGCATTCAGTGACATTCATCATGCACTAAACCGATCATAAGTAATAGTTTCTAATAAACATCTATTAATTTAAAACAATTTCCAATATACACTGTTCTTTTGAACTTTCTATTCATCAAAGAATCCTGAAAACAACGTATCATGGTTTTCACAAAAATATTAAGCAGCACAACTGTTTTCAACATTGATAATAACAAGAAATGCTACATTTTGTTACATTTTATGCAACACGACACGTTCCATTTTAAAATATATTAAAATAGAAAACAGTTGTTTAAATTGCCATAATATTTAACAATACTACTGTTTTACTTATTTTGATCAAATAAATGCAGCCTTGGTGAGCATAAAGAGACTTACTTTCAAAAACATTAAAATATCAACCCCAAACTTTTGGACGGTAGTGTATGTGATATGTGAAAAGCAGTCTAGATGTTTGACAGTGTTACGTATGGAAAGCATTGGTCCAATCATGTTGAGTGAGATATCCTCAGGCAGGTAGTTGTGAGATTGCATAGTCTCTTCTCCTTTCACTTACACAACAAGTGTAGGCAAGAATCTTGTTCATTTGGAATTTACTGGAGATAACTTACAACTTCCTCTCCGGATATGGACTTCTGAAGGAACTTTCATGCCATTAAGATTTTCAACAGTTTTGGTGACCATTTTGACTTGCAATGTACGGTAAAAAAAAAAAAAAACATTTCTCCAAATACCATTTTATATTCCACAGAAGAAAGAAGTCATGATAAATGATGATAGAATTTCATTTTTGTGTGAACTTACCCTCAAAGCAACAAACTGCTAGAAGATACATGGTATGATTGACAGGGTAAAGCCTCTGATCAGCTGGCAGGAACAACACTTTTCACTTTTTCATTGATTATAACACATTGAGAAATAAAAGACATGTCTGTACTAGAAGCAATCAGTCATTGGAAGACAAAACTGTAACAAATGTCATAGTCTTCTACCAGCAATAGATCTCCCTCAAAATCTCAAAAATGTGCTTGTTTTGAAATAGAATTTGAGATGACAAACCTATAAACGTTAATATTACAGCAAAAGGATATTACATTAATTCCCTAAACTGTTCAGTATAAAGTTGAAAACTTCAAAACAGGCCCAGAACTAAAATCAAATCGCTGAGAGTGCTTCTTAAATTAGTGATGGTGCTTTAACCTTAATATAAAGGTTTTAGTGCCATCCATCGCTATTGCGCAAAGAACGCTCTGATTATAATCACTAAAAAGCTGTCATGCATCTTAGTTTATCGCGATCTCACAAAGTTATGTTATAATCAATGAAGGTCTCTATGTTGCACAATGAATCTCTTATTTACACTGTGCCTACACTTTGTTATAATGAGAAGATTCGTACTGAACACAACACCTGCAAAAACTCCAGCAATTTGAGCAGTGAGTGGATTCTTAAAAGCCTCTGATTGACTGTTGTGTACAAGAAATAAACAGATATGTCTGTGACTGGCTATTACTCAACGCTGCAAAACACGTTGAAATAGAAACCGATCTTGCGCAAACCATAACGCACTGGATAGTTTGCCAAATCTGCAATGAAATGCCATTATTACAGCTTTAACTGAGGGTGCTATTGATCTCCTTTGAGCACCCCCGTAGAACCGGGCCTGCTTCAAAATCAGTTCAGTCACAGCAAAGTGAAATGACTTGGTCAGGTGGAGGTTGGGGTGCAATAGTACCTTCAGCTGTGGTGACCAGTTCCAACTCTGGGTTTTCAGTACATATACGACGAATTACATCAATCTGTTCCAAGGTCAGTCTGACAGCATCTTTGTCCTGAGCCGTGCACAACACGTACGCCGCAAAAACCTAACAAATATCAAGGACTTATTTATGTCTAATCATGCACAAAATAACCAAAACAGCAAACTGGCCACTCACTTGTGGGTCCAAAATGTCTAAGAAATATGACAATTTTTGGCAGAAATTAGCAGTTTCAGTTAAATTCAGTGACTTATTAAAGAAATTATAAGAAGAGGAAAGTGGACTTTAAGATAATGGTTAAAGATAATCAAATATTGCTCATGGAACCGCACAATATTAGCTGTGTGTGAATTTGGGGCAGAACAAGCTTGTTCTTCAGGCCCAGCACTTGATCTACACAATATACAGTATACACAAATAGGTTTGTGACTTCAAATTTACAAATGGTTAAAGATTCAGATTATACTCAAGATCAGCCAAGAGAAATTACCTGTCCTCCAACATGGCCAGCAGTGAGGCGACTAATATCTGTAGCCACTTTAGGATTGTGGTGCATATTGAAAGTGCTCAGTTTGTTATTATGGTGCATTCTCAGACGTAATGCCAGGTCATTGTGTCTGAGTAAAGAGAAAGAGAAGCGGTGTGAAATTTTAAACCATTTTTATTGCAGTTGGTGCAACTACAACCTTCTCTGAAGCCATTTACTGTCAGTATTCTCAGCTATATAATATTATAAACCAGTTATGTTTAAAGCACAGATTACAAATAAAAATGAATGATGTGTAAATGAATGAAAGTGAAAAGTCATACCCATCAATCAGTGGATATTTTGTCATTATATCCAGTGCTCTACTGGTTTCGGATATTACTCCATGAAGAAGTGAGAGAAGGATGCATACGAACCACCGTATCCAAGCACCTCTGATGCCTGCTTTTTTATATATTAACATCCTATGATGCTGATAAAAAAAGTCAAAGGATTTGCTCTAATAAAAAATAGTCAGAAATTGGAAGCAACTGGCATGTACAGTAACGAGTGCCCAAACTGTACTATATATATATATATATATATATATACTACATCAGATTTCACTATGCACTATAAAGAAATTAAGAAATCAAGAGATATTTCATATAAATCTTTATGACAAGACTAGTTCAAGAACTAGTTCTGACTAGTTCAATAACTGAGAAGCTGATTTTAAATTCAAGAAAGAAATGAAATGGATGAAGGGGAGACCCAGGCTATTCGTCAAATAGAGAGGTTGTCACAATATTTTAGAGCCTAATATACATTTTTTAATTTAAAGGTTGTTTTCGCTAGCATCAGTTATATATGGTCGTTTCAAAAGTGCCCTTTATTTGTTTCCATTATTTTAAATACAGGATATATCCTGTATTCTGGCAACAGCATATAGTCAGCAAAACCCACAGGCCACGTTTCTATTATTATTATTAATTTCATACACTTCACTGATGTAAGTGTATCTAAATCTGTTGCCAAAAACGTCGACCTGTGGCATCTTTTTAATGTTTTACTAACATGAAAATGTTATTGAGCATACAGCTTAAACACATACTAGCCTATTTTATCTGTCAAGCAAATGTAGTGTGAACACGCCTCGCTATGAGAGCATTTAATTAACTATATTTTATTTCTTGGACTAAAGATGTTCAACATCTATGTAATATGTGACCCTGGACAACAAAGCCAGTCATAAGGGTAAATTTTTTAAAATTGAGATTTATACGATCTTAATGGAACATGATTTTGACCCATACAATGTTTTTTTGGCTATTGCTAAAAATATACCCAAGCAACTTAAGACTAGTTTTGTGGTCCAGGGTCACATATATACGTGTACGTATGTCTTACCCAACTGTATATCTAACTGTCTAAACACCGGGAGAAAAAAAGTAGTGAATAACAAAAAGTGTTAGAAATCCGGATCTCCCCTACTCCGTTATGTCAAATAGTATCAAGCACGCCTGAAATGTCCGTCTGTCAAATACACGGTATAGCCTATTATAAATAGCCTACCATTATTACTCACCGCGTCAGGAGGCTTGCTTTAAAGTTGGCTACACATGAACGTGAAGAGATGTTTATGCTGTGTGGAGTAATCTGTTATTCTCTGCAGAATTTGCCCATGTGTTGTTCTACAGAGTAGGCTATGTCTCGGTTTAAAACGTTTGGTGCTATGCCCTTCGGAGAAGTGTCGCCCTCTTCCGCGTGGTCTTCGTAGGCACATAACTGTACCCTAATTGGAAGCACATGTGAAAAACACTGGCCTTCGGAAAAACAAATGTTCTGTCTGACTTTGTTACACGCTTTAACATGTTAGATAAATGAATTGGTTTCATATACATATAATGTAAAAAAAAAAATGTCAAAGATTAAAAAGCTGTCATGTCCTCAGAAAACACAATGTATGATGAGTCAAAAGTTATACAATAATTCAAAAAATTAGCTTAAAAGTAAAAAAAAAAAAAAAAAAAAAGTCTAAAAAAATTACATTAAAAATATTAAATAGATAATGCGAAACCACAATGTAACATGTTCTACAACAGAACTTGAGCTTAAATTTGTGACAAATGTCAACTTACAAATCCATCACACTAAAGCCATCCTAGTTCAATATAGCCAACACACAAATTAGGCTATGTGAATTTTCCACACAAAAAAAGAATACACTTTTGCTTGGCTGTAACAGGTAGCTGTTTTTATGATGAAAATAATTTCTTCAGTTATTCTGCTAGAGCTTAGTTATATAAAGAAATATAATAAACATTGTATTTTTCTTTTCAGATCTTCTTAGCACTTTAAAACTGTTAACCTTGCACTTGCACACTACCATCAAGAAATTCAAAGGGAACGGCAGACTATGCCTTATAGTGTTAATAAACACTTTTCCACAGTCTTCCTTCAAATGTATTTGTGATCAAACAACTTGAACTGACAGTTTCATTCTTTCTTCTTTTTTTGGTCTCAGTGGATATAGAAGAATATATTCCAACAAAAATCACACGCATTTTATGAAGAAATGAAAGCCATTACACATATAAACTTAATGAATAGATGTTAATTTCGATGATTTGTTAGTTTTATTAGCTGTCACTAATAATGATATACTAATAATTATGCATCACATGCATAAACACACAATACAGTAGCCCAATCTCATATCGCTAGCACAAAGCGTAGTTGTTCGTTACCACGGCAACAGCTTGGTCTTCAGCGCATAAATATGTATGCATATCTATGCTTCAGCGTCCCACACCGCTTCTTGCAGGACATGTGAACGTGAAAAAATGCTTAATGTGGCTTAAAGTACAATGACAAATTCGGGATACAATATTACTAAGTCATTATTACGAGAAAGTTTCTCATTATTACGAGAAACTTTCTCATTATTACGAGAAACTTTCTCAATATAACGAGATACTAAGTCATAATTTTGAGAAAGTTTCTCATTATTATGACTTACAGAATTATATTTTTTCTCAACTGTGGCGGAAACGGGCTTCCATACAGTGAGCTGTCAGGAAAGGCACTAAGAAATGCAGTCAGTGGCACATTCTTATTTTGTTTCGAAACCTTTAGAATTGACTACTCTGGTAGGTCTACCTGATGAAACATCTCTTCCTCCTGGTGTAGGACCTACCTGAAAACCAGTAAATGGATAATGGCAATCAGATAAAAATGTGAATTTTTAGCTAACTATTTTTAACTATGGCAACTATTTTTATGGTAAATAAGTCATGGCATAATATGGTAACTATTTCAATAGAAAACAATTTATATGGACAATGTAGATTGTCACTTTATTACCTGTGAGTCGTCTGCCTGCAGGAGAATAATCATATTAGAAGAGTGCACAAATGATTGGAGCTCTGTTTGTATTTGGCACAGCAGCTGGGCCCGAACTGAGTGACAGTGATGCTCCCTCCTGCTCATTTCTGGTATGACTGCCCCTTCTATTTACAGACATCCTACATGTGGAACATGACATATCCTGCTCTAGCCAGGAACGCAAGCATGACCTGAAAACACACATGGGTACCAGCATCTTGGAGACCTTTTAAAGAGATTTCCTAGGAAAATGTCTGATATATTTCCACAGCAAAGCATAATACTTTATTATAGTCACCCATTCAGCTAAGTGCTCAATGACAGATTATATTCACATACTGTAGAGGACTTAGCCATCATCTAGGGTGAATAAGTAATTTCTTGTAACTAATAAATCCTGCTCTATCTGTAATGTGGTCATTTTCATACTTGTGGAAAAGGTGCCCACAGGGCAGTTTGTATGCTGTGTACATCTTTTCCAGGCAGATAGCACATCTGTCATCATGAGACGCCAGCTCTTCCATTGTAGCCATAGAAAACCTGCCAAAAGACATTATGATATAGGAGGCCCATCTTTTCTCACTTCATTACTGCAAATTGCCAAAACAGAGGTCACATATAACAGCTGTTACCTTACTCATGTACACAAATAAACCAGCATACAGCATAATACACTACAGGGAAAAACAGAGTTTGATATTTGATATTTCAGGAAATTCAGGTTCACTATAAGTAGCATTATTAACTATTATTTGAACCTTTTTACAGACTGTGACGCATTTCCACATTTATTAATAGTAATAAAACAACTAAATGTTCCTCTTTCAATGGTTCATAATAAATATAATTAATAAAATATTTTTAAAATAAAAGTAAAAAAAAAACATGATTTGTCTCACCAGCATGTGGATATGATGCATCATATTTAGGAAAAGAATGCCTATCTCCATGACAAAGTCTGTGTAATAAATACAGGTCTCTTTATCTTCCCAGGAACCTTCACAGATCAGACCATACAGGTGAATTATGTACCTGAACAAAGGGAGATGTCATTTATAGCAGGCACTCAGCTTAAAGCACATACAGTGCCGCTTGAAAGTTTGTGAACCCTTTAGAATTTTCTATATTTCTGCATAAATATGACCCAAAACATAATCAGACTTTCGCACAAGTCCTGAAAAAGTGAACCCAATCAAACAAGTGAGACAAAAATATGTACTTTGTCATTTATTTATTCAGGAAAATGATACAATATTACATATCTGTGAGTGGCAAAAGTATGTGAATCTTTGCTTTCAGTATCTGGT